ATAGGAGCCAACTGATCAGTCTACCTTAGCTGAAGAGGTCCAAAGGAGAGGACATTATAGCAGACAACGGTTACAGCTGATGTTGTTTTAATAGTTACGGGTTCTGGGACAGCGTTCATCTTCCATCAACAAACTCTTTGGTTACATCCCGTCTAATATTTTCCATGGTTTTTAAGGATGAGCGTTTTCTCGATTATTAGTTCATGTTGTTATGACAAAATAATGAGGATTGTTTTCTCGAGATAACAAATGATGGTTTTCCATAATTAGTGGAAGCTAAATCATGGTCCCCTTAGCTGGTCACTGATAAAGTTTATTATACCAGCAGGATCACTGTGTAAACACCTGCTGATCTGCAGTCGGGCCAGCCGTCTCCATAAATGACGAGGAATGACATGAAAGTTATTTGTACAAGACAACCAATTTGCAATTTCAGCCTGTGTTATGAAAAAGTAAAACTGACCAGGCCATCTCTGTAGTTACTGAATGATGTACAAGAGGAAAACCATAACTTGTTATCTCGAGAAAATGCTCATCGTTTTCTTCGTGGTAACAACATAATGTTGTTATCATGAAGAAAAACATGGAAAAATTACATGTGGACAACATCCGCTCTCGGCTTCCGTAAGGGGGAAAAAAATCACACTGAGCAAAATTGTTTGAACAAGTTTATTTTAGCGGTGGCCATATTGGCCTCTCCCCACTTTGTAAGACCATTTAACTTGGCATCAATACTGGTTAACGGTCTGGCTTTTCTCAGAATCAAAACCTAATAATATTTCCAAAATATTGTTTTCTTCAACCTTTTTCTAAAATCACAGCTCACATAGCAGACAGGTGAGGGCCAGACCTGGTGTCAAGCTGACACTGCTGGCATGGTAAGTGGTTTGCTGGCATGGTAAGTGGTTTGTCAACCTGATGTGGGCCAGGTCTGGCAATGATAGCAGTGTTTTTAAGTTGGCGTGCCACAACTGGCCTGGTTGTGGTTTGGTTTATGCGGTGTTGGCCCACACATGGACTACCTCTGGCAAACCACATCTGGGCCACCAAAGGACCGTCATGCATTGCAGTATCTGGGCTGAATGTTGGTGCACTGTGTGGGCCAGACAAATTTTGCTATGTGGAATATTTCCCCCACAGTTACGTATCAAGATTGAGTTCACTATAAACTAGGGTTGGGCGATAAATCGATTTAATCGATTAATTCAAATTTGCCATTTATAAAGATTTAATTTTGGGAAAATCTGGATTTTATTCCCACCAGTGCACTCTTTGGGTCTTCTGTAGTTCAGAGGTCACCCTGCCTGTCCCTGAAGATGCTTGGTACACGACATGACAATATGGCAGCCAGCAAAGAGAATCTACTTCCCAAAAAGGCACCGTTCCTTCAGTTATCTGGAACTGGTTAGGTTTTTCAACCTCGGACTTGGAGCAACAAACACCTCACTGCAAAACCTGTTTGAAGGCTCTTGCTACAGCAAATTAGTTTCAACATTTGAAACAGAGGCACTCCATTAAGTGGGAAACAAATTGATTAAACTCGAAAATTGAATTTGGGATATCGTCCAACCCTACTATGAACTGTTTTCCAGTTGTTTCTATTGATGAACTCGTTTAGGTATCAGTACTTTAATTTAATTATTCTCATAACAACTAAAGTCACTGAATTTAAATAACAATACAGGAATAACCAAATGAAAAACACTTGAGTTAAAGCGCTTTAGGAACACAGGGAAACAATCATGGGTCATATGTTGTGACCAATTAAATACATTCATCTTTTCAGCACATTTACCACACACAAACCGTTTTCTTGGTCTGTTGCCCTCAATTCCTTTAACTGCAGTCTTCCATCAAAACCCCTAACCACCGGAGCAGACGTATCGTCAAGCGGAGTGGCACAGGGTGGTACAACACATATCTTTCCTCCATTTCCTCCTCCCGGCAGGGTGATGATCTGTAAAGAGAATCATTAAGACTTAATTTGTGACCGAGACTTGGATACACACATGGCCTGCAGAAGCCTATCCATCATCTGCACTCCCATTCATCATTGTGGAGGAGAAAGGATGCAGAGGAAACTGCTGCTTCGCTGTCTGACCTCTGACCTCCAAGATGTATGAGCCTGAACGTGACCACACACACTCAGTGTGGGGTTGTTGACGGGTAAAACCCAAACCACGGATGGTTTGAGAACAGAGACAAGCTCCTGAGCGTAAACTGTACATGTCTTTGTCTTCAAGACTACTGCTTTTTGTTTACAAATACTTTTGTTTCTGTATTACCTGTTCACAGTTCTTCACCTTGGATGTTGACCAGAGAGAAAAAACAAGCCCCAATTAAATTGATTATATTATATTTTTCAATACTGAGTATTTTTTTTTCAAATTCTCCATCTAAAAAGCTTCAACATGATGTGTAGTTTGTTGAAATGTTAGTGATATATCACCTGGCAACATCCCAGCACTACACAAAATGTCAATTTTAACAGTAATTATAACGGATAGTAGGACGAAGCATTGTTTCTGAAAACATGTTTAGAAATATTACAAACTATTTCATTTACTGGAGTCAGTAGCTGGTGTCTTTATGGACTAATTTTTATGCAAAAATTATTTGTTTTTAATTCTGTGCTGAGTCTGATTCATTTTGTCAGCACGGTTCATATGCTTGAATGGAACCCTGCAAATTTGGAAAACATCCTTGTAGCAAGAAGGCTGTCGTGAACTCTAGTACTTGAAATTTTTTTTTTATTTTCCCCACAATCCTTTGTCCCTCCCACGCACCCTCAACAACCTCTCAACAGTGCGTTCCCACGATGATTCTGTCACGTTCTCCAACAATCGCACTTTCTGGCACAACTTTCTCAGAACACATCGAAAGGTGATGCTCCAGAACAGGGAGGTGTCCAATCCTGGTCCTTGAGGATCACCACCATGCTAGCATGACTCTACAGCCATGTGTCGGCGTGATGAAGCATAATCATGAGGCTAGTCTGGTTAGACCTGCTACAAATTCTCACCAACCGAACCACAGCAGTACCAAGTTACTGATACGCCTTTATTGATGTCAGCATGAAACATAYGGACCTCAAAATGCTACAACTGCAATAATAAACCACCACAACCTCACTATGGACATTTTGTACATGCTCATGAGCATTTGTAATGATGTGGGTCAATGTGGTCATTTTTAAAATATAAAGTTAATTCATATTCTATAGGTATTTCCCCCCCAATCAGGGCTATTTAACTAAATTGCTCTGGGGGCCACAGTTACTGCAGGCCAACAGCTGAGGGGCCAAACATCCAACAATTAAAATCATTATGTAAATAAAACAAGTATTACAAAGATCTGTTACCTTTGAAATAATTTATTTTTTTGCTGCATTTAATCATGAATACAACATATAGAACCCTATGTAATAAAATAAGTGATATTGAAACAAAATCAAAAACAATTGACACAAATATTATTTTGACATATTTAACTTGCCACATTTTTAAACCAATTTTATTTTTTACTTATCTTAATTTTATATTCTACTGCTTGTAGTTTTAAGTGTCTTTTCATTCAAATGGTTTTTACCAGCTTTTGGTCAAGATTCTGACGTTTCTGTATACCACATGTGTCTATGTGTAACTTAAAGCACTTATAGTAATTAAAGTAGAAAACCGATGGTTTGGGCTTGAGAACCAATGAACCAATTGGTGGGCCAGATTTTGGTCACCAGTGGGCCTGATGTGGCCCACGGGCCTCCAGTTGAATAGCCCTGCCCTAAATATTGGTAGCAGTTAGTAAGCTCTTTGTCATCACTTTTATTCTAATTTGCTCGTTTCACGTTTTGAATGTCTGGTAAAGAATTACATTTTTACATTACAGGATATCATTGGAATAAGTTCCATGATTTTATTCCTTTTGTGTGTCTTCATTAAGTGACTTTTTAAAATATGGTTTTACGTAGAAGCATATTGCTGCCACTTGAACAAAATTTTAAATCGTAAAATGTGAGTGTGTGGAAAAAAGACAGTATCTCATCATGTAACAAAACGTTTTTCGGTTATTACCATACTGTTACATATTTTTCAAATCATAACAAAACATTATCAATGTATAACAATATAAAAAAATTGCAATAATGATTTTGGCATGAACAGACCTCCGTAGTATGCATGCTATTTTAAACATATTGTTTCTCCTATGGGCAGAGGTGAATATTTGTGGTGATTATATGTTTCTGTACTGATTCTGACCCTGTTCCTGATGGAAGCATCCTTGTGAGAGACATTTCCCTTCTCTGGTCTGAGATAATTACCTTATTTAACGAGGGGAATGAAAGTTAGAGTCAGGACACCTTTAGGATGTAAAATAAACTAATGCTTTCTGCTCGTTGACCTTCCTTCTATGGGTCCCATCCAGACTGTAGGTTCAATGCACCCCATCAGAGSCCTGGATGGTTTTCCCTCTGCGATGAAGGGTTCTTCAGCAGGAAAAGTAATTCCAGCGTCCTCATGGATGTTTTCATTGTGTTGGAGAGCTTCCCTTAATGACGCCCATTGTCACAGCTCTGCAACCGCCTCTTTATGTTCCTATGGTAACCAGTGGGAGCGAACGTGTCGGGGAGACGGGAGTGTTTGTGTGTGTTCATTACGCCTCTGTGGCTTCTTCTTTCCATAATGAATCAATTATCGCAGATGTGGGGCGAGCTCATCTGAATAATCACACCCTAAATAACCAAACCGCCCTTAACTCTCAATGTGACTTCACTGAGGATGCTCCCGACTGTGTGACAAGTGTGTCTGTGTGTGTGTGTGTGACGGGACATCCATCTGACATCAGTTGTCTTCCAATCTGCACCCCGCATGCCAAACTCGGCCTCTGCGACACCTTCAGCTGCACATCCTGAAGCTGAGGAAGGGTTTTACTGCCCCCTGCTGGACGCTTCCTGTTCACGTTTAACCATCAACACAAACACTAATAAGGGCCTAAACTCCACAATCTCACAATGTTTACAAAAACACATTTATTATACATTTTCAAGCAGCTTGAATGGACTGACTTTTGAGAGGAAACGGGAGTACAGGAGGTACCAGGAGAACACAGATGCATCTGAAAAAACAAACAAACAAAACAAAACAAAAAACAGAAAGTCTGGAGAAAACTGTTACAGTGTCAAAAATTGTGCTCCACATTTGACTCATCACACATGAGAAAATACAGGTAGCTATTTAAGCACCCAGGGAGCAGTAAGTCTTGCTCAAGGACACCACAACATGTGGACATGGTGGGGAATTGAACCTGTGCATTTCTGGTCCCAAGTCAGCTGCTCTACCACTGCACCACAGCCTTTTGTTTTTAATAGAACAAAAATACTGCTGCATGTATTATAACTACAGAACCTGTTTGTTTCCCCTTGGGATCTATAAAGTATTTTTAAATTTGACAATATATAAATAAAATAAAATTGTTGTGGCTAAGAGAATTTATTTATTTTTATTATTCAATGTCACCGGACGGGCACTAATAACTAATCACAGGTTTACAAAAATTAAAGGAAAAGGGTTTATTATTGAGCAATAGAGCCTTCCTGTAGCTAACGGTAAAACTACGTCTATTTATTTTTACCTTTAGCCTTTACTTTTTTTGGTAAAAGTTTGGACATAGAGTCCTCCACCAGCATACAGAACAGGTGACCGGACTCCGAGGGTCCGATGACTTTAATCTGAGAGTCTTCGAACATGTACAGAACATCTCTGCAAACAGAGTTCGCCTCGTTGCAGATTAAAGTCAGAGTGTGTTCTGTGAGCGACGTGTCATAAAAGATCTCATGAACTCTAAGAAACGACGCCCAGTACTCCATCAGCGTCTCAATGTTGTCCAGTGCTGTCCTCAGGTACCTGGAGCCCGACTTGGATTTCTCCGTCACTGAGATCTTCAGCAGACCGGTTCCTTCCATGACCTCGATGGACATGTTTACATCTTTCACACAGCCCTCCAGTTCCTTTTCGTGGAACTTTCTGATGTACTCGAAGGTAAACAAGTCGACCCAAGTATCTTCCACGACCCCTGGACTCGGATCTTTGACACCTTCTGTTGACGTGTCTCCAAGTTTAGTCTGAGAGAAATTTGTGCCGGTTGCTGAGCTGCTGAGGTCCAAAGGATTCTCTGCCGAGACCCTTTTTGAAAAACTACCACTTCTTTGATGCTTTGTTGATTTCTCCTGGACAGAGTCAAGCTCCGGGCCCGACAGACCCACAGTCTCTGGCTTCGACTCCTCTCCAGTCACGTGTCTGCGGCGCTCACCGGCTAAACTCTGATTTGAGACGTTCTGCTTCAARAAAGCCTTTTGGGTTTCTGACTTTGAGGCGAAGTCCTGGTCCCGACTGGAGTTCTGCTGTACCTTTGATGAGCTCGAAGGTTTCTGCTTAGCTTTAGTACCAGAGAACCCTTCAGCACCAACAACCTCAGGATGAAAAGYTCTCCTCAGATTAGAACTGGAGTCTTTGGGTTTGACAGCTGCAGTTTGGAYGGGGGGCTCAAGATCTTTGGCCCTGCGGATGAGGTCCTCCCTCAGGGCCTTGATGGCAGATAAAGGACCCTCGATGAGGACTTCCCTCTGTTTGGGTGAAGACAGGAACCGTACGGATCGATGAGCTGAACGCAGACTCTTGATCAGGTTCGTCTGATCGCTGCCGAACACCGAGAGGTCCAGTGTGGCGCTGGAGACGTAGAGATACACCTGCAGCACAGGAACATGGTTCAATCAGCATCTAAAACGTACTTWAAAAAAATGAATAAATTATGGTTTCATACCAAACTTACATCTGTGGTGAAGGGAAAGACAGTGAGCGAGTAGTCTTCAGGAAACTCGTGGTCTTTCATGACCTGTTCCTTTCTCACCACCCTGCCAGCGTCTGCCAAGAGTTTCAACCATTATCCCTCACAAACTAACAAAATAGAAACTTTCTACAATAAACATCACTTATATTTGCTCCCCTCCAATGCAGCACCATGTAGAAGTGGTTCCCATTGGTTACAACAGAAGACATTTTATACATCTTCTAATAAAAATAAAAGGCATCATTGTGAGAACATTTTTTTAGGATTTGTGAATCTTTGTTTTAAGCCAAAATAATAGTTAAATCCTCCACTTCCTCTGAAAAAGTTTTTTTTTCTTAATAGAAGCAAGATTTAGATTATGTGGCATCTGGTTTGTTTGGAAAGAAACTACATTTGAATTTAAAATAAAATGTACATTTATATATTCAGTTTAGGTAAAGAAGGGTTTATATTAAGATAAAAGTAGGTTGGTTTTCAGCAAAAA